AAAGAGCTGAGTTGTGAATTAACTAAAAAAAATGCATAAATAGAGCAAATAGAAATATTTTGTTTTTCACAAATAGAATAAAAAGGTGTTGGGATCCTGACTTCACTTAATATTTTTATTTTATAGTATATATATTTTCTTCAATTTTTATTTCTCAGAAATGTATAAATGCCTCTCACGATTACATTTAAATATTATTACTATAGATGAACAATTAATTGTACTCCTCCTGATTATACAAATTCATCATTAAAATAGTAATATTAAAGGACCAGAAATATATACTTGAACTAAAACATGCTCTTTTAGTAAGTCCCTTTCGGTTACCCTACGTGTTATAATTGATTATTACAGTATTCGCCTCTTTTGATTACGAATAAGTGTAGAATCAATTTTAACATATAAGAGCTAGATGTTACTAAATAAAAGTTAATATCTATCTATAGAAACATTAACTATATTACTTCTTTTGCCTCTTTCGATTACATAGTTAGTAAGAAGTTAATATATGGTGCGAAATAGATAGATGTTAACAAATTAAATAACACCTAACTACAAAGCAGATAAAGTTTAAATGAAAAGCTTCAACTCAAACATATGAAATTGAGGAATAATATCTACTATTATATAGAAATATTAAGGTCCGTCATTCTCCCAACACAAGAAAGTTACTCCACACTAAAATTAATAATAACAACGAAAATCTTCTTATCCTATCAAATAAGAAAATGGAAAGAAATATTCAAGAAGAATAATTCCCCTATTTAATTAAAAGTAGGAACTAGAATAATGTCCAAACACTGAATAACTGATGAAATTGAAGAAGAGAAACTTCTGAAAATGGAAAACAAACTGTAATTATGAGCCTCCTCCTCTGTTCCAAGCAGTTCAAAAGGGTTATATTTATAGCTTTTCTTTCTCACAAGCCTTGTAAAGATAAACTTAAAATAAAAGATATCCTTCGTTTCCTTTTTAGCATACGACACTTTGGTTCCATGGAACCTATACTTTGGTAATTGTTTTCTTTTCCAACTTGGCAAGTTGGAAAACCATGATCATCGAGGTGATATTACAAAGGGGGGAAGACTACCATGTGCACTTTAATTCCTTTCAACTTCTTCCTTTTTTTAATTATTTTTTTTAAATTTTTTGAAAGGAAATATACCACTAGACATGCTGCCTAGTGCCTAATATATAAATAAAATCTCAAAATGGGTCCAAATCTTACAAGATGTCCAAATCAAAATAGAAGTTGCATGAAGCTACTAGCTACTAAAAAGATAGAAAAGCTAAAATCTAACAAACTAGCTATTGCAACATTATCCGCTGAATGCTTCGTTCTCCTGTCAGTGTATGTGAATCCAATTACCCGTGACAAATACCAAGCAATACCTATCAAACTCTCACCAGGCGCCAGGGTATGTAGTCCATAGGCTAAATTGAATTCCAAACATCTCCACCACAGAATTGAAGCCATCATAGTCTTCCAATCATTAGTGTTGCTACAATATGATATCCATAGGCAGTGTACTGACTCTATCCAAGTATAAATCATGTGGTCGATCATCAATATTATCATGTAAAAGAGCCTGGCTACACCTGTATTGAAGCTGTGTTTAGGTAGGCTTTGCAAGGCAAAAGCCAGGCTGGGGTTGGCTTTAGGCTGGCTTTGCAAGGCAAAAGCCAGGACAGGGCTGGCGTTTAAGCTGGCGACGCCAGGGTATCATCAGGCTTTAGCCTGGCGCCGCCAGGCCTGTGGAGCTGGGTGATTTTATGATCTTGTAAGCTCAGATCCTACTATTCCTGAACCTTTAATGTAGAAGTCATTATAAACATTGCTAAACCATCCTTATATTGAGCATGAAGACATGCTAATACCACTGAGAAATGATTCAACAATCTCCAGAAATTTCACATAACAGATTCAATCTTTTCCTTAACATTTGAACATATCAAAAGTAGAATAAATTTTACCATCCAATACCTGCTTATGATATTGGCCCTGTACACTATCAAAGCACCCCCAGAATGAGCATGTGACCATGCTAATACCACTGGAAAGTACCTTAATAGCATACAGAATGAGACATAAAAGAAACACGCAAGTGTGTGCCGATTCCAATCCCGGGAAGCCATCAGTTTGAGGCTCTTCTCTTTGCTATTCTAACCCTAAGGTTAGGAGTTTGAGACTTGTCTAAATTAATCAACCTCCTCCCTGCACTAGGCAGTTTAGAGAATGAGTGAAACTCATATGTACCTGCAAAAGAAAACACAATGTTAGCTATAAAATCCGCCACTGAGTTGCCTTCTCTAAACACATGTTGAAAGATCACATTGAAGTTGCCCTTCTCTATAATTTTCTTCACATCATTTGCAACTACCCAAGGAGGATCCCATTCCCCTTCTATCACTTTCTTCATCACTAATGAATCAGTCTCCAATATGAGAGGGTGAAGATCATGCTCCACACAGGATTCCAATCCTTGAAGAATAGCCTTAGCTTCAATCACCCCATTAATTGTCATCCCCAGGTATACTGCCCTTACATATAACATATCACCTTCATCATTCCTCACACAAAAGCCTAATGAGCTAGGACCAAGATTACCTTTTGAGGATCTATCAGTATTGCATTTGTACCAACCATGAAAAGGAAGCTTCCATGTTACTCTTGTAGTGATCAATATAGTTTTATATCCTTCAAAATATTGAATTATGTTTGGCCATAACAATGGAATATTAGGCATCCAATTATACCTCATCCTTGCCAGTTGATGCAATGTCCTATTGATGTCATGAATCACCCTATTTTTGGACACTGAACCCCCATGTTTACCTGCATTTCTTCTCTTCCAAAGTTCCTAAGTGATGATAGTTTGTACTGCTTGAAACAATGACATTAACTTTGGAAACCATTGAGCATACCACAAATGTCTTATAACCTGCTTCAATTGAATCAATGACACATTAATTGCAGCAGCCCCCATGAACAAGTTCCATACTTTAGAGGCAGTAGGACTTGGGACAAATATATGCTCAATAGATTCCTCTTGGGGCTGCTGACAACACCAACACCTAAACATCACCATTTGCCCTTGCCTCCTCCACATGTCATCACTGGCTATTTTCCGCATCCACAATATCCACAAGAAGAAGGATATCTTGAATGGTAAACCTTTAATCCACATTAACTTGAATTCCTGATTAGGATTAGTCATATGCCTTAATATTTGCCAAGCACTGCTAACACTGAACTTGCCTGAAGGAGTTGGCATCTAGTACGACTTATCCCAGTATCCCTCACTGCCTTCATAATGCACATTTAGCCTTATATGTTCTGCAATTTCCTCATTGAAGGTTTGATCTAGCAGCTGATCATCTCATGTTTTACCTTGCCCTAATTCTGCCACATCCTGAATATCTTTATTGATTGGAAAGTCTTCAGGTAATATGTGATAAAGTGCACCCAATCCAGTCCAATTTTCATGCCAAATATTACTTGTTCCACTCTTCAATTTCCATAGGATCTCATGTTCTACTTCTTCCCTAGCATTCAACATTTGTCTCCAAACATGAGACCCCCATCTAAACTGCACCACCATTGGTATCTCCTTCTTGCAATACTTATTCCACATGAAATTAGACCATAAAGATTTCGTGGTTCTAAGCCTCCACCATAGTTTAGCAAACAATTCCCTTGACACATCATGTAAGGACCTAAAACCTAGGCCCCCTTTCTCTTTACGAAGGCAAAGATTTTGTCGTGAGGCCTAATGTCTGCTTCTCCATTCTTCTTTTGTGCTCTAAAAGAACCTAGCAAAAATCTTATGAAGATGCTCCAGGATATTTTTTGGTGGAAAAATCTTCTCCATCTTAACATATGGACTGGCATACCTTGCAACACACTAGAAATGAGTGTTGCTTTTCCTCCAAATGACAGCATCTTTCCTTTCCATGAATGCAATTTAGCCTTTACTTTCTTGATAAGATCCTCATGATATTCCTTCCTCTTTCTAGTGTAGAAAATAGGACACTTAGATATGTGAAGGGGAATTTACCTCTTGCAAATCCTGTAATAGCTCCAACCGCCTGACACAATCCATTAGGAATCTTTGAATACATGTAGTATGAACTCTTATCTTTGTTGATCATCTGGCTTGATATCTTCTCATAGTTCCCCAACACTGCGATAATCTTGCTTAAGGATGGAGGATGAGCAGAAGCAAAGATTACAGTATCATCGGCATATGCCAAGTGGTTTAAAGGATCAGATCACTTAAGCATTCCAAATCCCACAAATGACATGTCTTCAAATAGCTTATTCAAAGATCTGGAAAGTACCTCAGCTGATAGAATGAACAATGTTGGTGATAGAGGATCCCCTTGCTTGACACCCCTTGTAGACTTAAAGAACCTTGAGGACTACCCATTCATCAATACTGATTACCAGTTATTTTACACCAAGTTCCACACCATGTTGATGAAGTGCTCAGAAAATCCCATCTTCCTTAATACATGCAATAAGTACTTCCATGAAACCCTATCATAGGCCTTACCATATCAAACTTGATCACTACATTAACTGGGTTTCTCCTTAACCTTATGTCAGTTACAATTTCTTGAGTCAATAAGATGATCTCAAATATACTCGTACCCTTCACAAATCCGGAATGATTAGGAGATATTAGAGAAGGCAAAAAATTTTCCAATCTATCATGTAACACCCTAGACAAAACCTTGTTAATGAAATTGCTCAAGCTAATAGGTCTTAAGTCAGAAAAGGTCTCAACTCTAGGTTTCTTAAGCAGCAACACTAGATTGGTGTGAGTGATGGATTTAGGCAGTGCAGCTCCTCCATAGAAGTGTAGCACCATGTTGTGTATATCAACACCAATAACATCCCAACATGTTTGATAAAACAGGCCAGTGAATCCATCTGGACCACTAGCACTCTCCCCACTAAGCTCAAAAACTGTTGTCCTTACCTCTTTAATTGTTGGCTATCTGCTAAGTTCCAAATTCCGTTCCATAGTGACCATCGAAGGTACATTATTGAGCAAGGAAAAGTCAGATATATCTCCTTCATTTGTGAACTGTTTTTGATAGAAGTCCACTGCAGTTATAGCTAATTGCTCCTGGTCTTCAATCCATACCCCACTTCTACTTTTGATCCTATTCAGTTGCAATTTCTTTCTTTTGCCATTGAAATGATTGTGAAAGAAAATTGTATTCCTATCTCCTTCAGCAAACCAAGTCATCCCAGCTTTTTGCTTCCAATACTGCTCCTCAATACTCAAATATTTCTTCAAGTCAGATTGAGCCTTTTGAAGCACAATCCTGTTCTCAGTTTTAGGCTCTTCTTCAAAAAACATCTCTTTCACCATAACAATGTCCTCCAAAATAAGCCAACAGCTTGAAGATATCACCAAATGTTCCCCTACTCCATTTTGACATTGCTGCCTTCACCCACTTGAGCTTCTACTTAAACATAAAAAATGGATCCCTTATGAAATTAGCTTCCCAATTCTGACTCACCACATCCATAAATGTAGCATGTTTAGTCCAAAAGTTCAAGAACCTGAAAGTCTTGACAAAATTGGTGGTTTGCTCCCCACATGTCATTAACAATGGTGTATGATCTGATCCAGTTCTGATTAGATGTTCAACTTCAATAGTTGGCAACATGTTCTAAAATGGCAAATTCACAAAGATCCTATCCAATATTTTGAATATACACACAACATTGGATATCCCATTTCACCCTGTAAATGGACTTCCTTTGTATCCTTGCTCAAACAAACCACAAGAGTTTACACAAAATGCAAAATCCTCATATTTAGGAGGGTGTACTAGTAGTCCTCTTGTTTTCTCTTCTTCATGCAATATCACATTGAAATCCCCTCCTACCAACCATTCCAATTTCATATCACTTGCTAAGTAATACAAGTGATCCCACAATTCCAACCTCTCCATTGCTGAACATTTTGCATAAACAAATGTCATCATCATGTGCTGCCCCTGTTCATGGTGAAGCACTCTCACAGTCACCTGTTGCTCAGTATCCTCCCCTAATTCCCATTCCACCATTGCATCAAAGAACAACCATATTTGCCCATTAATATTTGCATAAGCAGTCTCCATATTCAACCTTCTTCTATATCTATCAATGAGTCTCTTCTTTTGAAAAGGCTCCATTAATGCAACTACACAAAAGTTATGCTCCCTATTCATGTTGATCACCCTAGGAAAGGCCTTGTCACGATACCAAATCGGACCCGGTCATGATGACGCCTCTCGTAAAGACAAGGCCAGCCGACACAATCTGCAAGTTCATTTCAAAAGTTTTAATAAGCCAATTTAAGCCCTTTTAGTTAATTAGGTATTGCACAATGCACATTTAAAAGAACCGTGCAGAAATAGATACAACCTGACATCGGGGTGTCACAAGTCACGATCATCTACTAAGGTCTAAAATACAACAGAATTTCTGTAAATGTACTAAATACAGTCTAATGACATCAAAGGGAGAAAATCAGTGCTACGAACATCGGGCAGTTACCTTGCTAAACTCCAAAGACTCTGCCTCTGATCAACCAATACCTACTACCGGGTGCAGAAAGACCTGAATCTGCACACAAGGTGCATGGAGTAAAGTGAGTACTCCAACTCAGTGAGTAATAATCATAAGTAACGACTGAGTGATAGGAAATCACAAAAAGTACACCAACATGCTGTATAGAAGTAGTACAAAACTAGTAAGAAAGCAATGAAGCTATAAAATCTCTTAAAGCATCTTATTTCAGTTTAAATTTCTTTAAAAATGACGTTTCAACAATTAAGCAATTGATTGCAAAGCAATTAGAACAGATAAGTACAAAAATCCCCCCTCGGGCACAAATACACAATTAAATAGGTAAATGCCAGACAAATAAGACAGATAAGCACATAAAGGATCGCCCCTCGGGCACAATGTCAACAATACCAGCCCCTCGGGCTATATCTAACATCACCATAGGTATCCGCGCTCACTGGGGGTGTGCAGACTGCTGGAGGGGCCCCTTACGCCCCAAGCACAATATCAAGCCATCTCGTGGCATCATCACTAGGCTCTCGACCTCATATCAACAAGCCACCTCGTGGCGTACAAATCTCAGGTCCTCAGCCTCATAATCATAATCAGTGCATCACCGCTATGGCGTGCATCCCGACCCAAAAGTATCCTCACAGCACAGGCCCTCGGCCTTACTTAGTCAAAATCACATAAGACACTCAGGCAATAGTAAAACATGATGCTCAGCCCAAAATATTATTTAAAATATCATGTAGTATGTTAAAATAGAGTAAACATGGCTGAGTTATGAAAATAGTAAATTATAGCATGACTGAGTACAAGTATAAAGTCAAAAATAGTGAGGAAATACCAATAACAATCCCCTAAGGGTTCAAATGGTTGGCACGAGGCCCAAATATGGCATTCAGCCCAAAACATGATGTTCACAAATAGATTTCAGTCAAATACGCGGTAAAATAGTCATTTGAGATGGACTAAGTCACAATCCCCAACAGTACACGACCCCACGCTCATCATCAAGCGTGTGAGTCACCTCAATATAGCACAATGATGTGCAAATTCAGGGTTTCATACCCTCAGAACATCATTTACAATCATCACTCACCTCGATCCGGTCCAAATTGTAGCCCGCAATGCATTTGCCCTTACGAATCGACCTCCGGATGCTTCAAATCTGGCCACAATCGGTACATAACCATTAAAATATGCTAAGGGAACAAAGCCCACTCGAAAATATCCCATTTACATAAAAAATCCCAAAATTGCTCAAACCCGACCCCCGGGCCCATGTCTCGGAATCCGACAAAATTAACATCAATGGAATCCTCATCCTCTCACGAGTCTATACATACCAAGAACATCAAAATAGGATCTCAATTTCCCCCCTCAAATTTCCAATTTACACTCTCCAAATTCAAGCCCTAATTCTCCAATTTTAGGCTTTAATTTCCACATATTTCATGATTAAACAATTAAGAATCAACATAGGATCGAGTATGGAGTTCAAAAATCTTACCTCCAAGTGTTTTCCTTCAATTCCCTCTTCAATCTTTCTCAAAAGCTCCAAAAATTGCTCAACAATGGAGAAAATAGACCAAAAATCGCGAAACTCACTCTTTAAACATTCTGCCCCAGGTAAGATTACCTTCTTCGCGAATGCGACCGGCCTCTCGCGTCCGCGTAGACCAAATTCACTGCCTCTCCTCTTTCCTCTTCAAAAACATGGACAATTCAATGCCAACGCGATGCTTCTCCATACCAGGCTTTCGCGAACGCGATGCAACTCTCACGATCGCATAGCACATGGGCCTGGGGTTCCCAACGACCTCACTCCTCTACGCGAATGTGACCCCAGTCTCGCGTCCGTGATGCACATGAATCCTCCACCTTCGCGTTCACATTCTTATCCTCGCGAATGCGTAGAACAAAAATATCATCACACAAAAACACCCTTCGCGAATGCGAGTCCCTGACCGCGAATACGAAGAACAAATTGTCTGCAACACAAAACCAACATTAACTTCCAAGTCCAAAGTCCAAAATTAATCCGTTTAACCATCCGACCCTTGGGACCTCAACCAAATATGCCAACATATCCCATAACCTCATTCAAACTTGTTCCAACCTTCAGAACGCTCAAAACAACATCAAGACACCAAAATCACATCGGATTCAAGCCTAAGAATTTCAAGAACTTCCAAATTACGCTTTTGATCAAAAACCCAACCAAACCACGTCCGAATGACCTAAAATTTTGCACACACGTCTCAATTGACACAATGGAGCTACTGCAACTTCCAGAATTCCATTCTGACCCCTATATCAAAATCTCACCTATCAACTGGAAAACACCAAAATCTCAATTTCGCTAATCTAAACCTTCCACGGACTTCCAAAATGCATTCCGATCACGCTCTTTAGTCCCAAATCACCTAACTGAGCTAACCAAATCATAAAAATTCCGATCCGAGATCATATACAAACAAGTCAAATCTTGGTCAAACCTTTCAAATTTCAAGATTCAAACTGAGAACTGTTCTTTCAAATTCATTCCGATTACCCTGAAAACCAAAGCCAACGATTTACATAAGTCTTAATACATCACACGGGGCAAGTCATGCCCGAGAACTGGCGAGAAAAGTGCAAAAGCTCAAAATGATCGGTCGGGTCATTACAGGCATGCTGTGTATTAACAAACCTTATGTTCCATATCAATGTTTTGATCATCATTTAGATAGAGAAGCTGTGCTTCTGGGCATAATTCTTGAAGGTTTTTTGGCTCTTTATTCTGATTCTTTTTTGTTTTCTTACCTCCTTTAGCACTAGCTATAGGTGATAGATCCCCATCCCTAGCCACCTGTTTAAAGTTTTCTATTGTTGATTCATCATCTCCCTCATCCTCCATAGGATTTTGTCTCATTAAGTCTTCATCAATTGGTTCCACATTGTGTGTAACTAAATAATGTAAATGTTGTAATGGAGTCTTCAGTGGAGCATTATGATGCAGCTGCATAATTTGATCAGTGCCATATTCCATAGGCACTTCCTCTATTTCCCTAGATGCTCTTGGAACAATTGCCTGCTTATCAGCCTTTTCATTGTTATTCACCATAGAAGACGCAACAACCTGCATCATTTTGAATTGCTGCTCATAAACAATGCCTAGCCCAGGAATTACTCTGGTAGTCTGCTCAGAAATGTTTGTTCTATTGATATCACCACCCTTTATATTGCCTGTGCTTTGGTTTGGCCCTACTGTATCATCCCTAACCTTCACATTATCATCAAGTTTGTTCTCCAATGCATACACCGGAACACCATCTACATAGGCCAAAATCTTTCCAATTGCACTAGGGATAGGGTTTACTATCGTTTCTTTATCAGGTGACCGTGGTTCTAGGACTGGCGTCGCCAGCCTAACGCCTGGGGAGCCTGGCTTTAGGCCTGGCGTCGCCAGCCTATCGCCAGGTGGGCTGCTATCCCTCACTTTTTCTCCTATTGTCTTTGTCATGCCTAGTTGACCATCATCCACCTCAATTGCATCACTCCCTACAACCTTTGTTGAGTTTATCTCATCAAGGTTCTCAAGCTGCCCAGAATCTGCAAATGTTTGAGATGGAATATCTTGACATGATTGGTTTGTAGTCACATTGAGTTGCCTTAGCTCCTCTTTGCTAGTTCCAAACCTTCTATGGACCCATTCGATTGTGGATTCCTTATTAGCCTTTTCTTCAGTACTTTGATCACTAGAAACAATAGGATTATCTTTAGCTAAGGTCCCATTATGCCGACCTTCCAACACTTTCTCAATTGCTTCCTTCTTTACCTGCTTAAGTTTCTGTTGATTACCTTCACTAGTTGGTTTAGTATTAGCATCCTTCCCAACCCTAACCCTAGAAGCCTTAGGATTAGGGCTTGACACTCCGGTATTTCCTTCTTTTTCCTTCTCATGACCTTCTTGGATTGCCTTTCCCCATGTTCCTTCTTCTTACCATTGCTATAATCCTCACCTTTTCCTTCAGTAATTCGTAGAGTAGGTTGATGAACATCGTCAACCTCTAGTGCATTAAACTTGTTCTTGGTTTCTACTTCTTCAAGTTTGGCCTTCCTTTTACCCTTGTCAGCTTCCTTACCTTGTTTGTTATCAACAATGTGACCCCAATTATCCCGTTGGTATTTGCTCTTCCTTGCTTGTATCCATTCCTGCTTGGCATTATTAGTAGTAGGCTTACCAATCACCTTTCCACTTGATAGAACATTTGTTGAATTTGCAGCTGTACCAATTGCTTCAATGCTTACCATAACTATATTCTCCTTGCCTTGATCCTCAACATCGTCATCAAATCTCTTGTGTAATTCAGGATGAATTACCCAGCATTCTGCCTCACTATGCCCTTGTTTCTTGCAAAGTGTCATGCCCCCTTTTTCCTCGCGAAGTTCGTGTTTCGATATTTTGGGGACAACTCCTTTCCTTTTGGGGAATTAGGTATGAGATTTGAAGAGTCGCCACCTAATGGATTAAGGTGCGTTAGGGAACCTAAAGAAAATAACTCATGAACCGATTTGCATTACCAGAGATTGGGTAAGGGCTCAAAATAACCTTGAGGAGAAGGTGTTAGGCACC